GGGCTCCATCAGTGACTCTCATCATTGATGTTTCTAGCTCTCTCTCTCCCTCTCCTTTCCTCTCTCTGAAATCAATAAAGATATATTTAAAAAAAAAAAGAAATATTAGATTTAGTAATTGACTTGCTTAGCTGAGATCTCAGCGAAGCTCAACAGGCTAGACTAGAAACAACTTTCTTAGAAAATGGACTAAGGCAAACTGACCTGGAGTTTGAATTTTAATACCTTACAAGAGTATTTCTCATTTCTATGTGTCCCAAATTGTATTAGCTTTTTTGAAGCAGGCAAGATCAGGGCTGAAAAGGGAGGAAAGGATTCATGGAGAATCTGAAAGGAGTGAATGGAAAAGCAGTGAATGAAAAATAGACACAGAAGAGAATTTCAGAGAAGGAATAATGAGAATATGTAAGAGACAATAGAGCTAAAAAGATATTCCTATTCAGAAAACTAACTTTTAAAATCATACATATGAATGATTCATTTAAATGATGATGTTTAAATTGTGTGTTTAAATGTTATCTGGTGCCAGTAATGTAAAATGAGGTTTTAATAAGCAAGAAGTGCTTTAAATTTTTATAATAGGCACTTAGCCAAAGGTAATTGAAGGGGTTCTAGAAAAGGTATTAGAAAATCAAAATGGTAAAGCTCATTATGTGAATAAGAGATAAGATGTATTCTGAGTGAAATGGTTGATGTCTTTTTTTTTTAAATATATCTTTATTGATTTCAGAGAGAGGAAGGGAGAGGGAGAGACAGAGATAGAAATATCAATGATGAGAGAGTCATTGATCGAGCCCGCAACCCAGGCCTGTGCCCTGACCGGGAATCGAACCCCGATCGCCTGGATCCCAGGTCGACGCTCAACCGCTGAGCCCCGCCCGGCCGGGCCAGGCCGGGCAGTTGATGTCTTTTTACTGGTTCCTAAGACAGAGTGTAGTAATGTCCCAAGACATTATACAGAAGCTCAACTTAATTTTTCTGTTTTATGACAGTGTGATACTGGGATGACTTAGACATTTAGTTTTTTAATTTAACTTGATTAATCAAACCTTGAGTCACTATTAAGTGATTAACCTCACAGACCATCTGTGACCATTGAGCCCAACAGGGATTGGCTGAGCACCAAATGAACTCATCAATTGAGCATTGTGTCCTAGGGTGCTGGGGAGAGTATAAAAGGGGGCACACGAGCCTGCCACACTGGCTCTTCAAGTAGTTTCTGAACATGTAGACAGCAGGACATAAGATAGGTAAGTAGAGAAGAAAGCAAGTACCAGGTACCGTAGTAACTAAACTCTAAGTTAATGTGAGTGATCAGACTATGAGTACTGATGTTAGAGAAAGGTATGTGTGTAGGGGGGAGGT